CCTCAAGGGCATTTCTTGCCTGTAACCCTTAAATATACATATATATATAAAGTGAGGATCGAAAGACAAATTATTTTAAGTAACAAAGTGATTGAGAAATGGAGCGCTCTGTCCGTGGATGTCGATCTCCCCACCTGTCTAAGTGCAAACTTGGCATACTCAAGCTTTCCAGCTATATACCAGCTAGAGGCTAACCCCACTGACAGCTAATCCACTACAAGCATACTACTGTCAATAAGTGAGTAACCGTTTATATTTACTCTTTTCGACCAACTGACGGCTGTTTACTTATCGCTTGCAATTATGTTAACAACCAAATTTTGAATCCTCATTATTTATCGGGGCTTTTAGGTAGCCACCTGGTAACCAAAAGCGCATTCAAGGGCCTCGCCTATATGCCCTTTAATAAAGCTGAATTGGACAGAACAGCGAGCAAACTAAAACTTAGGGAGGGGGGTGATACAAAAGGATGGGGTAGAGCAAGGAATCCGCAAGGGAGCCCACACAGCTAATACAGCGTAACACAGTATCCACAGAAACTATGCGAATGCAGCTAGCCGACTGCGCTTATAAAAGCAGTTATGAGTAGTAGGAACACAGTGGATATGTAGCTTGATTCATTTAAGTCTACGTAAATCGACAGCGCTAATCCTTACCCTTACATTAAAACTTAATCCTCAATCCTTAAACCTAGACCTATGCATCAGTCTTAAGCCAAAGCCCTAGTTCTAAGCTAGATTTTAACATGAACACTCAAACCTCCACCCCTAACATTAAGTAATATGTACATCTGACTTGTTTGGGGAGAATACATCTACTTTCATGTTGGCTTTTTAAGTTTGAAGGGAATCTATCGAAGGAATATGATGCTACATCTTGGGGAGAAAAGTTATTCAGCTCAGAGTGCAGATTCGAGTTGAATACACCCGACGTCTACAAGCTAGAAACAGGATTCATGTATCATGACTGCCTAAAGTGACTTTAGCACAATCCCGAGACAAGCAATGGTTAAAAGTCTAGACACGCATTTATTTAACATTGCGCGTATTTGACCGACTACGCCGCCCGTGATGCTTCCGGCTAGCCTGTGCTGCGTCCTGTTACGGTGTTTTCATTCAACAATTCTAGATGCCATAACAGTTCACCAGTTGTCAATTGGAGTAATACCAGAGACTGGATAACGAACGCTGCAGGAATCAATTACTGCCATACAATCGACCTACTTTTTGGACATCTGAAAACTCCGCGAGAACCTGGCTTCCAATGACACGCCCGCATTAGTAGGCTGACCTCAATCCTTCTGGCCATTGGCCATCAAGGCTGACTCAGGCAGGGCCTGATTACGATGACTACCTTCGGTATGACACTGCAGATGTCGGCGCCCTAGCAGCCGGAGGACTGTACTCGTCCGAGGGCCAAATTTTTCCTACCTGTTCCTCTATTCCTTCTGCACAGAATATACTGTTCCTTCCGCTCTGGCCTCCCACCTCTTCCTCTTTTCCTAGGGAACCGGGCCTGAAGATGGTAGTGACAAGCACTTTCTACTTTAACCTTAATTCCCCAACCTGCTGATTGCACGTTTAACACTGTAAACAGTCAGTCCTAGGTTCGTTGTCTTGTTAATTTGGATAGGCGACGTTAATTTTGTTGCATTGCCACTCACTAATCGGTTACGGGACTAACTTATACCGCACTTCCTCCGGTATCACACTCGAGCCCCGCCGCTCAATGACTAACACTACATGGGTACAAATAAATACCAACAAAGACAAAGGAGACTGGAATAGACAGAATCATGAACTACCTGGTTGACAGACAGTTTCCATAGTTTTGGGTGTAACCCTTACTGATGCATATCGGCAGGGATCGATGGAGGTGTACTCGGAAGACCAACATGTACAATAACCGCTTACTTACAAATTTTAAGAAGGTTGAATGTTCCAAAAGATTCCAACTTTTGCGACGCAGGCCGTTGGTAAAGTAGGGACTAGATGATGATATTGAACTGTAGAGGCGTCCTCGCAAGGCCACCATGTACAATAATCGCTTAAGTCAGTTTATTAAGTGCAAAGGCTTTTCAAATTAAGTATGGGAATAACCACTTACTTACAAATTTTAAGTAGGGTGAATTTCCATAACCTAACTTTTACAATCGTTTGCCGTTATTCTAGTTGGGGTTAGTGATACAATTGAAAAATGCACCTCAGTAACCTCGCCCAAGGTCAGCGAACACCTCTCGACATACACGCCTTCGCTTCAAGTCTATTAGGGGTTAGGGATGATATTAAAATGTACCTCAGTGTTCTCGCCCGAGGTCAACGCACATCCCCAACTTACCCTCATAACTTCTTTAATGTGCATGATTATTGTCCACTGAATTGTTGCCCGATACGCCTTACCCATTCTACCCCCTAAACCCAAGTGCCCTTACTGGAGTGGGGCGCGCATCGCACACACAGTGGGGACCTCACTATAGATCATTGCCTGCATATCTTACGGCAGTGACGCTAATCCCTTGAAAAAAACGTCTACAGAGGACAAAGCAAACATTAAAACAAATCCGCTGGACACAAATTAGTCAAATCGCTAATGAAAACTAGTCAAGTTGGCAGTTATAAATCAGATTTGCAAAGAAAAGATCAATATTCACACGCAGAAAGACTCGGAGGTTGGCGTGATGCGAAACCATAGCTAGTATTTTCTCCAGCAAGAATAAGTAACAAAAACCGAGAATAACCTACCGAGCGCTGCCGTGATCGGCTTCCCTAAAATCTTCTGCCCACACTAAATCGCGCGCATAACCCCTACAACTGCAGAATCTTTCGGCTCCGATGACGAGGGCCGCTTCTCGCGGCAGGAGACGTTCCATGAAGAGGCGACCAGACAGGATCTCTGGTTGCATGCAGCACATCAGCTCCTCCTGGACGTTACCGAAGCGAAGAAATTCACCTCCAATGTAGGGGTCTGCGAAATCCACCTGTAAAACAAAAAACGCCCAGGAATTACGCTCGGGGTTTGGCGGGAGAAGAGGCCTCAACTTTATTTTTAATAAAAAAGCTACATGCATAACTCACGAATAATTAAACCAGAAAATATTCCTCCTGGTTGTCAATTACCGGAATGACAAGTGTATCCATTGTCCAAACGGCTGACATGGACAGTTTGTCCGAGTTCAACTTTTTAAAGAAGAACTTTGCAGAGTGATCATAACATGCCTAGCACAGTCTCCGTTGCTTGTTTTGTACCCATCTTTATACAGCATTCGCTCGCTACACCACGTTTGACTTAAGGGGTGTTATTCTTTCGCGGAGGTATTCTGATTCTCAGACTTCTGCGGAGAATAGGACATTCTAGTTCAGAGACATACTTCCACGGCTGCTTGGCATAAATACTTCCATACAAGGACCGCTATTGGCGGCTGTCTGTATGACGCTGTAAATAAAACGCTTTCTTAACATAAGATAATACTATTTGTGCCTCGGCGTTCGTGTAGGCAGAATTCCAGATTGCGTACACTGTATCCGACATCCGACAAAAGTGGACAAAAACTGCAATGGTTGCAACTCCAAAATGTGGTTCAATAACGTCTGGCGAATGTTAAGTTGTAGGACCCCTTGTAGTAATATACTGAGATCAGAGTCGCGTTATTATTAGCCCTGACACTAAGCAAAACCCAATCTTTTTGACAGTGACGTGTCTTCGAAGAATTGTGGGTGTGCGCAGAGAGACTAGAGCCACGTCCATGGGAATTTTGTAGGTAGTTTTCTGTTGAGTCAGTGTATTGTAGTCAAACAGGGATATCGGCTTTCACACGCCTACGCGTCTTACACAAGTTGGTGGCAACTTGTCTCAATTTGCGTTGCCATGACTTCACCGGAAACTGGGCGGAAAATGGGCATGGGAATGAACCAACATTGTTGGTTTAGTGTCCAGCTCAAAAGCCGGTGAATTTTTGAACTCCAGAAACTACGATGACTGGTACATTAATCGAAACATCGATTTGGATGCCATGTACAGAATCACTATCAAAAATAGAAAAGGCGGCAGCCAATAAAATGGAACAGATCAAGACAATGCAGACCGGAATAGTAATCTCAAGCTTATTAGCTGTCATCACAGATTTATATGACACTCCACGTATTGTGACATCCGACGGTAGAACGCGCTAACCGCTGCGCCATAGGCAAGCTGCCTTACCGGTTTCGATCGCGAATATAAAAAAATATAAACTACTACTACCACTAATACTACCACCACTGCTATTATCACTACTACCACTACTATTACTGCTGGTACTAACACTAATCATACTACTACTACTACTACTACCACTAATACTACCATTACTATCA